CCAAACTCGGCGATTCACCTGCAGAGAGGAGCCCACACGGACCCTGTGGGAGCTGGGCCTGGCACCGGCCACGGTCAGGATCAAACTGCTCAGAGAGGCCTCCACAGGGCAGCACAGCCCAGACCCACCTTCTTGTTGTTGGAGAAGACATACAGGGCAAGGGGCTTCTCCCGACGGTTGATGAACTCAATGGCTTCGTCTACGCTCTTCACGGTCAGAATGGGCAGGATCGGTCCAAAGATTTCCTCCTCCATCACCTTTGACTCTGGAGAAACGTCGGTGAGGATAGTCGGTGCTAGGTCAAACAGGACAGAGGGCAGTGTGAGCAGGGCAGAAGTCACAGTCCATCGCAGGACCTCCCTCTTGCAAGGACCCAAGCAAGCCACAGACACAGGCAGCCCCCAAAAGACACTCCCATACACAGCACAAGGTCCCGCGCTCCACCTTCCCTCCCCAACAGCTGCCAGAAGCACCTATGAAGCACGAGGCCTCATCGGCCTCTCCCCCGTGAGCGATCTTCTGCCCTTCCAGCAAGCCCAGGATCCTCTTGAAGTGACGTCTGTTGATGATCCTTTCGTAATCTGGAGATGACTTCACGTCTTCCCCGTAGAACTCCTGCCAAAGGGCACAGCAGAACCAGAGGGCTCAACAGATCTTCACAAGAGCCACAGCTCCAGGAACTCACACCTGGGCTGTAACAGAGACAAGTCCTGTGGCATGAGGAACTCCACCCTCACCTGCAGAGTCGCCTTGATGTTCTCCACCACCTTGCTCTGGATGGACGGGTCGCAGAGGATGTAGTCGGGGGCGATGCAGGTTTGCCCACAGTTCATGTACTTGCCCCACGTTATCCGCCTGCGGGGGAAAGGGAGACACATCTTCCATGGTCAGTCCCTTCCAGACCCCACAGCCCCACCAACAGCACCTGAGCGACACCCGTGCTCTGGGGACAAGGGACCAGAGGAACCCCACAGCATCCCTGCCCCACTGCTGTGACCCCAACAAGTGCTTCAACAGCCTGACCTGCAGGCAACAGCCAGGTCACAGTCCGTGTCGATGTAGCAGGGGCTCTTCCCGCCCAGCTCCAGGGTGACGGGCGTCAGGTGCTGCGCAGCCGCTGCCATCACGATTTTGCCCACTGAGGAGCTGCCGGTGTAGAGGATGTGATCGAATCTCTGCGTCAGCAGCGCCGTGGTCTCAGGTACTCCTCCAGTGACCACGGGGTACAGCTCCTGCGGGGCAAACAAGAGCCTTATAGTTAAAACACGTGTGTCAGAGCAGCAGCTCTGCAGGGGGTGGCCTCTCTTGTGAACAATCTGGATCTGGATAATAAACAGCAATAACAGAGATGAGCTTTGTAACTTTCCCTGAAATCAAGTTTCACTTGCTGCTTTGTACAATAAGAACTGAAAAAAACAGAGGCTGAGGCCAGGACTGAGTCAGGCTGTGGAGCTACTGTGTACATTAAGCCCTAGGACACATACGACCACTGGGGTCTCTCTAGCACTGTCTCCTTTCTCGGCTCTTGCCCCTCGCCTACAGAAAGCACTAACTTGCCGGGGAAAACCGTGCAGTGTGGCCATGCTGTAAGAGCAACAGCCTATCTCAGTGACAGCAGTGCAACAGGTATCAGCACTGCCAGACAAGTGGAGGAGAAACGGCACATCCCGCTGCCAGTGTGGCTTGCTAGGACAAGAAAACCTGGGACATACTGCCACCCATCTCACGGCTCCCAGTTCTCAGGAAGAGCCAGGCACAGCCAGCAGCCAATACAAACCTGTGCTTGCCTAGAGGCAGCTCCAGCACTGTGTCAAAATGAGCGGTTATTGCAGCAAGGAGTACATACACACCTCTTCACACGTTCGGGGACGCTGAAAAGGTTGTCATGTTGCAGCAACATTATGTAAGCACGCTGGGTTACACAAAGGCAGGGAGAACATATCAACGTGTCCCTGTTCTCCAAGAGAAATTCAAACCTTTCTGTATCTCCTGCTCACACGCCTTTGGAGAAAGTGGGTAACTGATTCAACTCCAATGCACAGGAGCTCTTCAAAAGCATCACAGATATTTCCTTAACACAATCAGATCAGGAATAGGGCCACACTCACCCGGTCAAGGTACTGGGGGAGGAGATCAGCTATCAGCTGAGCCGTGTTCTCGCTGATCTCCGACGGCTTCACCACCACAGCGTTGCCTACAAGACAAACGCAGCACGGCCGCTGAGCCCTTGTGCTCCTCTCCCGCCTCCTGCAGAACCCACCCACTGCCTCATGAAGGACAGGGTCTGCAGCAGGTCCCCACCTGCTGCGATGGCCCCAATCAAAGGCTGCATGACCAGCACGAAAGGGTAGTTCCAGGCACCGATGACCAGCACCACTCCCAGTGGCTCACGGCAGATGTAGGCCTCGTCCCGCATGGTCAGCAGGTTCTTCTTCACAGGCTCAGGGGCTGCCCAGGATGGCAGCTTGTCCATCATCAGTGCCAGCTCCCCCAGCACGCCCAGGATCTCATGGCTGTACGCATTGGGCCCACACTGCAAGAACAGGGAGGCTGGATGGAGGACACTGAAGGCACCCACCTCCTGCACCCAGCACAGCAAAACAGGGAAGCAAAGTAAATTCTGCTGGTTCAAAGTGTCTGATGCTGGGAGTGCTCCCCCTGACAGAAGACAAAACCTGACAGTCAGGACCTGCCCTCACAGTCCTGCCTTAGATTAGTTTCTTCTTAGAATTAGTAGTGGCAGATCTGGCTGGGTCACAGTGAGAGCCCAAACCTTGGGGAACATCAGCAGAGAGACCTTGGCCT